AATAATAATAATAATAATAATAATAATAATAATAATAATAATAATAATAAATTACGAATAACTGTGTCGTTTTTACTTTATTGCACTCGACATTAAATAAGTCAAATAGATACTATACAATACATATTTAAGGAACGCTTATCAAAAATCAAATAAGGTCCATGCTAAAACTCTAAATCTTCCGCAGACCAAAGCAACCATAGAATGCCTAGCTGTTAATAAATAAGGAAATGCGATAAAAAATAATAATTTACATGATTAGGAAAACAAACAATAAAAAAATTACTTGTATAAAATGCTCCCGTCCCCATAACAGTAGTTAATCAAAAAATAAATCATTCCAAAACAGGTTGGACTGGTTCAGATATATTAGAAAATAATTAAAAATATATTTGCTCATTACTAAGTCGGAGATGGATCCTATGAATGTAAAGATACTTTTTATCACAATTGTATTAACAGCATATTTTCAAGGTAAGAAAGTTCTTTTGTTTAATTTGATATTAAAAGCACTAGATCCATAATTAAGTAATACAACTAGTTCCTTTTTGCATCTATATGGAAACTTTATTAACTTATTAATACGTATTTTATTGAAAATGCAATATATACTTTTGATGTAAATGTATCATGTTCAAAAAAAAAAAAAAAAAAAAAAAACGAACACATTTTCTTTTCATGACATGCCTACTTAATAACAAGTATCATTACATGTAAATTCCTACAACCATTTATGCACTTTTAGATGGTAGAGCATCCCTTAACTCTGGATGTTACATAGTTGATGATGAAAGTTTCCAGAATTGGTCAACCGAGATAGACGTTATAACTTTAAACTCGGGTTCAGAATGCAGACGAAGGTGTTATCAAAAAGGATTCCAATATGCTGGAACAGTAAATAACTTTTGTATTTATTCTTAACCATTAGTAAATGTCTCATGTTGTTTAATCATTCAACATATCTTACTGACTATCAATAATGAAAGAAGAGGTAAGAGGGTTGTGCTTAATATTGTTTAATATGTTAGATATCATATTGTTGGTAGATCTAAATACATGTATATTATTAATTACAGTAAAATTTTAATGAAGCTTTTCTACATTATTGAGTACTAAAAGTGCGAGTACATATATACAGCTGTTTAACCAATATTGGACTCGGATAATGTCTGGTCTGGTCCATATAAATTGTCTCTCTAAAATATACGCAAATCTTGATGCGCGAATACGCTACGACGGATCACAGACACTTGTGTGTCAGATCCTGCCCCAACGAGATACGCCCCAGTAAACACTTATCAAAAACATTTTTAAAGTACTTTATTGAGACTTGATGGTATACGGTATTTTTTCATATATGTAAAAAGAGTTTGAAAACCAGTTTTATCGTTGTTACAGAATTCGCATTTGTGTTTGAATATTAAAATATTTTTGATAGGGTGTTATAAGGGGTGTATCACGCTGGAAGGCAGGATTTGACCCCCAAGCGTCTGTGCGATGGAGGGAAAAAAATCCGTGTTATATAACTTACGAACAGCTTTCCATATATAGAAATACTAATCCCATTTATGGATCCCATCTAAGCCACAGGGAAAAGACTCTTTGATCTGATATTATCCCCTACCACTATCACCCATTCCTGCTACAACCCCAAAAATATGAATAAAAGTAAATTTCCACATTTAGAATTCATAGCAACAATATGACACTATTAAGCAATTTTCATGATACCTATATAGTGTTTTATAATACTGCACGTTTGGATATTCATTGGATAATCGTGACGTTTATATTATTAGTTATAAAGATCATTGGCGGTTACATGACCCTATATAAACGGTTATTTGTAAATATAACCCAAGCCCTTTGGCGAGGGTTATATTGCAAACAGCCGTTTATATACGGACATGTAACCAGTCAAGAATTTTTATTTCAAATTTATAATACAGCGAGCATCATTTTTAGAGAAAAAAGTAAGATTTCTTCAGGAATCGACAGCAGTCGTGTATATAAAACTTTATAATACCTAGCGGCTCGGGTTATATTTACAAACAGCCGTTTATATAGGGACATATAACCTGTCAAAAATCTTTATAACTAATAATATAACCTGTCAAAAATCTTTATAACTAATATTATAATACAGGAAGCATCGTTTTAGTGAGAAAAGTGAGATTTCTTCATAAATCGACAGCAACCGTGCATATTATTAGTTATAATATTGTTGACAGGCTATATGGTCCTACATAAAAGGCTGTTCGTAATTATAACCTGAGCCGCTAGGCGAGAATTATATTGCAAACAGCCGTTTATATAGGGCCATGTAACACGTCAGAAATCTTTATAACGAATTCGTAATACAGCAAGCATCATTTTGTTTAGAAAAAGTAAGATATCTTCATAAATCGACAGCAGCCGTGTTTATTACATTGTATTATCAGTAATAAAGAAATAATGTATAAAGAAATCTCTTTTTTTTTCTCTAAAAGAAGGAAGTTTGCAGTATTATAAATTCGTTATAAATATTCCTGAAAGGTTATATGACCGAATATAAACGATTGTTTCCAATATAACCCTTGCCTGGGGACTCGGGTTATATTTACCAACAACCGTTTATATAGTGCCATATAACCAGTCAACAATGTTAATAACTTATAATATAACTAGTACTATAGAGGTAAAATAGTGTCACATTATTGTTGGCAAGTTCACTTATCCCACAAATTCGTCATACATGTATAACATTTCAATCAAATCATTGAATAATGAGATTCTTTATTTCTAACATACCACAGTTTATAATTGAATGTGCTTGTGGCAACAGTCGTCCTCAAAAGGAAGTATTGAAATCAAAATGCAATTATACATGTCCTGGAAATAATAACGAATACTGCGGTGGTGGAAACGTTGACGTTGGCATTGGCTTTTCTGTTTATGAACCTTCCGGTATGGTATTACTTTCTTCCTTCTTGGTAAAAGAAGTACCGCAAGTAATTTTAATATTAGTGTGCTGTTATAATTTATAATTACACATGTATTTAAATGTTTTATTTATCAGAAATTATCGCACGGTGTACTTAAGAATAATGTATGTGTGTGTTGTACAACACGTGATGTAAGAATTTGATCTTATATATTTTCTTAAGCTAATCGTTACCACACTAAATATCTTAATGGAATAGTCTTTCCCATAGTTTAAACCAAGACACATCGATAAAATATAATATAATTATATATACAAGGTAAAAATAGTTAGTGAAAGCCAGAGACTATATTTGTTTGACTTGAAAAAAGCAAAATACATCTTGGCTTGATCTTATTCATGATAAACAAACTTTCTTTTATTCTATGCCTAATAAATTAAATTTCAGTATGACATTAAACATTTATTGAAATCTGTACAAACAAGAAATATCTTTGAAAAAAGATACTCGGCTAGACTAAAACTAGTTTATTTGCATATCGCGTCATGGAAAACATGGTAATAGAACATAAGGATTATGATCGTGAGGCTAACATCATATGTATATGTTGGCACATACGAAGTATTTTAAATAGAAACAAAATGTAAAGTCTGAAGTAAATCATTTAAAAGTAAAGAAGAAGTAAATACGAACTACAAATAAAACAATTTTCTTATTTTGTACTCAATTTTTTCGTCTCAGTTCATTTTTACCGTCATGTTATTCCTTTATTTCTATTATTGTGAATGCCGTTTTAACTCAACGAAAAACAATAGTAATTGAAGTTTAATCAAATCGAAATTTTAATAAAAAGTTTATAAATTACAACGTTTTGTTGATACGAAGTACCCTAATCAACAGATTTACAACACCTTTTTGGAAATAACGAAAGTAACCTAAAATCCAATAAAAGAACCGGAAGTGAGCTTTCTAGATAATTTACTAATCTAAGAAAAAACTTTGACAAACATTTATTTAAACAAAAACTCATTAGCAGTTAAATAAATACTTTACTAATATATAAAATACGTGAAAATTATAAACTTTGTATCCATTTCACATAAAAAATTGACAATACCGGATTAGTTCGTTTTCTTGTGTCATTTCGCTATTTTCATGCGCATGACTTAACGGGATTGTGGGCGTAATTGTAAGTGGTGGTTTCGTTATTTTTTGACAAAATTCATATTAAGCAACGTTTAATAATCTGTAGGAGGATGTATGATAATATAGAACTTAAATGTGTAGGAGAAGGCATGGTTAAACAGAACGAACTTAAGTGCATTCTATCTGAAATTCAACTTGATAGTGAAAGAAATAATTTCCAGAACACCTTTACAGTGCTTTAGATCAATTGAAAATTAGATCAGAAAAAAATCATTTATGTTGTTTTACTACTTTTTCCATGGCCAATTAGATTCCGATATTTCAGATTTCAATTTCAAAATGACCAATGAAAATCTTACATATATTCAGTTCTTTCCTGTAAATTTTACAGGATGTCCAACCGAAAACAGATGGCCTCCGGCCGAAAAACTTTTATTTCGCATCAAATAAACAACAAGGTTTTCAATAGAAGTAGCAAGAATCTTTTTGTTTCCATCAATATATTATGTTTTTCTGAATTCGACAATAATACAGCGAAATAATTATATTTATTTATTTATTCATTCATTCATTTGTCTGTCGGTGTCATATAATGAGACGTGGTTATGGCTCTAGAAGGGCTCGAATCTCGAATCTTTGTCGTGAGGTGCAGACACCCTAACCACTCTACCTCCGCTCCCTATAAAATACAAATAATTAAGGTTATTTCAGAAATACGTATTCATATTGTAAAACATATACCATGTTTATATTTGTTAAGATGTTACACCCTCTCATTCCGCTGGTTTTATCGGATGTTTCGGTTACGATGAAGCGTTGGATCAGTGGACAGTGGGGTTTGAAAACATAACTTTTAATTCGGGTTCAGAATGCCGACGACAGTGTTACAAAAGAGGATTCATATATGCTGGAACAGTAAATAGTTCTAATTGTTTTATTGATACAAAACTTTTGGCATAATATCAAAATTATTATTATTATATATTAATATGTTAATAATCAATGCATACAAAATGTCTGTAACATCATGTTTTACTGACATTATTGACAACGTAAAGTAGAAGTAGAGATAGTATTTATGATTGATATTTATCATTAAATTGGTACATCGTTTATAAAGAACAGTATGCAATTTTCTATCAAATAATTACATCAGATTTTCTGTGATTTGATATATACCCTAAGACCTAAATTATTTTATAAAAAAAGCTGAAAACCTTGTGTCGTAACAAATATAAATATTAATAAAATTATTAATAAATCAAATGGTGAAAACTTTAACTTTAAAGCTAGTTTTGAAAAATGCTTTAAAACAAAAATATGTATATATAGTATTTATTCTAAGGATATATACACTATAAATAATGTAGACAAGAGATGAAACCAATTAAATCTCTAACTAATGAGATGTTTTATTTGTAACCAACACAGTGGATCAAATTGTGTGCTTGTGGCAACACAAGTCTTCAGAATCAAGTTTCGGAATCCGAATGTAATAACATATGTCCTGGAAATAGGAACGAATACTGTGGCGGGAATGAACAAGGGTCTATATACAGAACTGCCGGTACTTCACAATTTTATTGGCTTTAAATGGAAAATCTGAATAAATGACAATAACTTTGTTTCAATCATGTTAATTCCTTGGTGAACTTTTAATAGTTTTGCGTTTATATGTTTAGAAAGTTCAGAGATAATTAAATTATGGTAAATAAATATCCTGATTTTTACACACAGGTACAATAAAAAAATACGAATTTTAACTTTTATAAAATGTTTTAGATTTTACTTGAAATTCATTTTATAGTTTATATCTGTAGTTATTTGACTTTGTGTTTGGTTTGTTAATGCGTTTATATCTATAAGATATTTATAACACCAACAAACAATGGTTTGAATTATTTTCATTATATATTCCAAGACAAAGCAATAAAAAGAACAGAATCCGTCTCAAACAAGTGGGTAACACCGGGGGCCGGTAGACCTGTTTACTTTATCCGGAATGCAAAGATGGATCATGGCAGCTGCAATGACTTCTGCAACCTTCTCACACCAAAATCTCAAGTTGCTGTGTTAGATAAAGATGCTGAACTTTGGCTAGAGAAGAACAAACTGATCGAAGCTTCTGAAAACTACTGGATTAACAAGACGGTAAATATTTTTTCTTGAATTTTCCCGTTGCACCTTTTACCTGATAATATTGTATAAATGCATTTGCCCTGCTTTGAATTCGAAACAATATTCAGGTATTTCAAGACAAAAAATGACTTTTGCGTTTCTTAGGAGAAGATACAATGCAATAGTCATCGTATATAGAACGTGTTAGCATATTACTGCCTATACCATTTACTTTGCCTTTACTCTGATATTTCAGGATAACCATTAAAAAGAAATTGTTAATACAATTTTGTCTTCCTTTTCCACAGAGTCAGCTTCAAAATGAGTGTTACTATATAACTGGAGCAAACAAACAGCGAGAAACCCATTGCCATGGATATCAGCGCTCATGTAGAGAAGCTACGTTCACGTCACGTGTTCGAACAGCTTCGTCTTGTTCTTTGAAGTACCGATGCATCTGTCAACGGCGTGTCTAAATGACCCGGAAAAAGCTGTGTTTCCGAAGCTTACGAAGTTTACGGAAGTTTTTGGCTTACATGAAGCATTCAAAATAACATTATACATGTAGTTAGTATTAGTGTGTGTTATTTCTTCAAGACTATCTGGATAGTTTTTCATCTCTTATGACATGCCAAAGAAGCTTAGGCACGATTTGTTTTATTGTTTAAAACTTTTCTATGTACTTGATCTGATTGAGAACATCTGAGATCTTGTGTCAATAAGCATTATGTTAGTGTTCTAAACATGAGAGGTTGTAAAATTGATGATTATTATAAAAAAAAAATACACGTTAAATTTGTTAGAAATTTTCTTTGTTCGGTTCTAATAAATGATTTGTCTATCTATAAACACGAAGTTTTCTACATTAAAATGATAAGCTTTTCGTGGCAACAGCAAAACAAAACAAAGGATTTTGACCAAAACAACACGATTTTGACAGTTTAATATATGTCAGAAACTTTTTTCCAATCTACCTAATAAAAGACTCAATCGAACCTATGTTAAAAAACAGTTTCTTGCTGGAAAAAAAATCAAGCAAAATTGGTTTGTTTATGCAACACCTCCCCCCCCCCTCCCCGACCCCCGATAGTAAACAGGGTCCTAATTTTTAGTTAGGTGTGACGGCATGCAGTCTCCCTAAATTCCTGCAAACAGAAATTATCTGTAGTAGTGTATGTACTCACAGACCCCGACTAAAACGCCCCCCGACCACCCCCATTTCAAAACACAGCCTGTGAGTCCAAACGCAGTTTATAAATATTTTAACAACCATGCGCAAAGCCAATTTGAGATCAAAGGGGAAGAGACAAAGCCATTAATTGGTTCAAATTATAATTACTTAAACGGTAATGGGAAGGCAATTCGGCCACCACCTATATTGTGAATTTTTTTTAAGTTTCCCCCCTACACTGTTCACTAAATCTTTTCGATTTGGCACTTCGTCTTCATATTTAACTAACTTTACTAAGCAATATAACGACTGTGCAAGATTATAATTTACCAGAAACCTACATGGAAAACCATCCCAGAATCACAAAGAACATAATGATTGCTTCTAAAAGTAACGGGAACTAATGAACAGGTTGAAAGCCACCAGTCATACCTTTCAAATTTCATTTCTGAAACGATAAATAACAAGTGTCTCAAGGAAATGTCCTGGTAAATAAATCAATCGAAATGAATCTGTAAAACGTTCAATTAATAGAGCGGAAACAGCTTTTTTTATTTTGAGGCACTTTATATTTTATCAATATCGATGTTGGTCAATTACAGTTTCAAAACGTTAAGAGTTGTCCATGGGGCGCATACTGCATTTTCTGTGTTAGATAGCTCAGTTGGTAGACCACCTGGCTGTCACTCCTTTAAGTTTCCGGGTTGATACTGTAACAACCCTTGGGGAAATTTTCAGGGACACTTTTCAGTGTTCCCACCGGGGTGTACGGTTGAAATTCAGGTGGTCCTCGCATGTAATCAGTGGGATTGAAATACTGGAGGTCACGTACCATGGAGGAAACGTAACCACGAGGTACGGTTTATGTACCACATATATAATATTTAAATTGAATATTTACAGTGAAAAATATTTATAGCTAAATAATAAAAAAAATGAAATGACGAATTATTATCCCACCGCCAAAGGCGTGGATGGATTAGAAATAGCTTCATACCGTCCGTCCGTCCTTCCTTCCGTCCGTCCGCTCTCATGGGACAGTAATAATGTGGCTAGGGGCAATAGGTAACTGTTCTTTTCCTTGATGTCATTTCATTCGGTAATGCATATTTATGTGCTAATTTTCTTTTGTGGTGGGATAAAAGAACAAACAATAAAGTAGCCACATTAGTACTAATCCCGTAAGAACTTCCGTCTTCCGTCCGCATTTTTGTCCAAAGCATATCTTTCAAAAAAGTATTGAGGTATCAACTGAAACTTTCATAGTGGATAGATCTCACTTGTCATGAAAAGAGCAAGGGGTTCTTTTCATAAGAGCTAGGAAACTGGTTTCCCGAACTCCCTTTATCTATAGCTTTCTCTGAAAGTGAACTTAGTCTTGTCTAAGAGTCATATCTACGTCACGCGAGGGGTATAATGATAGATAGATACATAGAAAATGCAATAATAGAGTACGAGGAGGGCCATGAGACCAGAAATCGCTTACCTGTATATAGGCCCCGGCGGGCCAAATTTTGCACCCAGGATTTTTTTAAAATAAAATTTGTAGAACAGTTAGAATTTCATGATAAATATCTAGCTCTAGCTCTTTGAGTTTTAAAAAGGAAGATTTTTTAAGGCTTTTACTATACACAATAGGAAAAAAAACAACATGACCGCAGCCCCGGACGGGGCCAATTTTGACGGCCAGGGCTTTTATTTGAACAAACTTGTAGAACATCACTAGAAGTTATTTCATGCTTAGTATCTTTACTCTAGCTCTTTGGGTTTCTTTAAAGAAGATTTTTTTTTAGTTTTTTACTATAAACATATAAGGAAAATCAATGACTCCGGGGCGGGGCCAAATTTAAACCCAAGGGCCCTTATTTGAACAACTTGCTAGACACCCATTAGAAGATGTTTCTAGCTAAATAGTTTAGCTCCAGCTCATAGGGTTTTTCTAAGAGAAGAGTTTTTAAGTTTTTACTATATACATAGGGATAAATAGTGACCCCTTGGGGCGGGGTAAATTTTGATCCTAGGGCTTTTATTTGAACAAACTTGATAGACACCCATTAGTAGATGATTCATACTTAATATCTAAGCTCTAGCTTTTTGGTTTTTTTTAAAAGATTTATTTTTAAGTTTTTACTATTTACAAATAAAGAAAATCAATGACCCCATCCCCCGGGGGCGGATAAAATTTTGACCCTTTTTTTAACAAAGTTGGTAGACACTGACTAGACGATGTTTCGTGCCAAATATTTAAGCTCTAGCTCTTTCGTTTTTTTTTTTGTTTTTTTTTAAAGATTTTTTAAGTTTTTTCTTTCGGTTGCCATGGCAACCAGAGTTCCGCATGGGAACATTTTTTAAAGTTTACTACCAAAGGAACATTCCTTTGAAGTTTAGATCGAATTGGCTAAGCAGTTTATGAGGAGATGTCTTTTAAAGTAAAAGTTTACGGACAGACGGACGGACGCCGGACAAAAAGCGATCACAAAAGCTCACCATGTCTCTTTGTAACAGCTTGAGCTAACAAGATCCCGGTTTGAGCCGGGTAATGCTCCCCGAATAGGTTTTGGACACAGGAAAGTACACCTCTTGTAGTTTCAGAGTTATGTTCCTTGAAAAAGTTCAAAGTGCAATAATTCCAAAATAAAGGCAAGGCCACAGTAAACTGTTCTTTGCACTGCCCTTCTAATCAATGGCGATCTATCAACCTACAAAGTTTCTTGTTGATATCTCTTATGGTTTCCAAGTTATGTTCCGGACAATTTCAAAATGTAAAAATGAACAAAGGGCAATTACTACAAAATTTGGCATGGCGGAGTTCAAGTTTTTGTGCACTGCACATCTACCCATTGAGATCCATCTACCTACAAAGTTTCATGTTGATATCTCTTGTAGTTTTAGAGTTATTTCCCGGACAAGATTATTTTAAAAGGGGAGATAATTAAAATATTGGGCAAAACAGAGTTATGTTTTTTTGTACTGCACTTTTACTACATGCAAGTTTCATGTTGATATATCTTATAATTTTAGAGTAATTTCCCAGACAAAGTTCAAAAAGTAAAAATAAACAAAGGGCATTTACTCCAGAATTAGGAAAAAAAGAGTTATGATTCTTGTGCACTGCACATCTACCCATTGAGATATATCTACCTACAAAGTTTCATGTTGATATCTCTTATAGTTTTACAGCTATGTCCTGGACAAGATTTTTTTCTAAAAGGGGAGATAATTCAACAAGAGGGCCATGATGGCCCTGGATCGCTCACCTGACACAACCGCATTCAAGCAATGTCTTAAACAAGCATCATGGCCAAGTTTGATGACAACCGAGTCAAACATGTGACCTATAGTGTGTTATAAAGATTTTTCCATATTTGGGCAATGTGACCTAATTTTTGACCGGACACGACCCATATTCAAACTTGACCTAGAAATCATCAAAACAACCTTTCTGACCAATTTCCAGGAAATCTGGATCAAAACTGCAGCCACTAGAGTGTTAAAAAGATTTTTCTATTTTTAGCTCCTGTGACCTAGTTTTTGACCGTACATGACCAATCTTAGCACTTGACCCAGAAATCATCAAAACAACCTTCCTGACAAAGTTCCAGAATATTTGGATGAAAACTGCAGCCTCTAGAGTGTTAACAAGCTTTTTCTATTTTTAGCTCCTGTGACCTAGTTTTCGACCCGAGATAACCCATCTTCGAACTCGATCTGTATTTTATTGAGACAAACATTCTGACAAAGTTTGATGATGATCCAATCAAAACTGTGACTGCTAGACTGTTAACAACCCAAGTGTTAGAGTGTTAACAAGCTTTCTTTTTTTTTAGCTCCTGTGACCTAGTTTTTGACCGGAGATTACCAATCTTCGAACTTGACCTAAAATTCATCAAAACAACCTTCCTGACAAATTTCCAGAGTATTTGGATGAAAACTGCAGCCCCTAATGTGTTAACAAGCTTTTCTATTTTTAGCTCCTGTGACCTAGTTTTTGACCGGAGATGACCCATCTCAAACTTGACTTAGATATCATCAAAACAACCTTCTAGACAATTTTCCAGAATATTTAGATGAAAACTGCAGCCACTAGAGTGTTAACAAGCTTTTTCTATTTTTAGCTCCTGTGACCTAGTTTTTGACCGGAGATGACCCATCTTCGACATTTACCTAGATATAATCTAAACAACCTTCCTGACAAATTTCCAGAATATCTGGATGAAAACTGCAGCCACTAGATTGTTAACAAGCTTTTTCTATTTTTAGCTCCTGTGACCTAGTTTTGGACCGGAGATGACCAATCTTCGAACTTGACCTAGAAATCATCAAAACAACCTTCCTGACAAATTTCCAGAATATTTGGATGAAAACTGCAGCCACTAGAGTGTAAAAAAGATTTTTCTATTTTTAGCTCCTGTGACCTAGTTTTTGACCGGACATGACCCATCTTCAAACTTGACATAGAAATCATCAAAACAACCTTCCTGACAAATTTCCAGAATATTT